ATTATTTATTCCTCCACCCCCCAGCTCACCTGTTCTCCCCCTAACCCAGGCTTCCTTTATCGCTCTTACCTATAGCCACTTCCCCTCGTTTTCCAGTTTCAGTCTTTCTGACTCCAGTAGTTGACTAAATCTCCATGTTCTCCTGCAGTTTCTTTTGCCAGCCCTTGTATAACAACCACGTTCATTTGTTGAATCTGTTTCTCCTTTTCTTGCTCCAGTTTCTTGCTTTCTGGCCTCTTTTCCTTGCTTACCTTAGCTCAGTCATGATTTCCAGCCCATCGCATATCTTTCTTTCTTCTCATTTCTGATTTAATTTATTCTCCTCTTATATTCCCTGAAAATGTTTCTCTTCCTCCATGTGCATTTGTCTTCCCTCCTTCTCACTTCTGAAGTCAAGTAACAGTCATCTAAAGAGTGCAAGAATTTGCATATCCAGGTGCTCAAACTGCATTTAGCCTCTGAAAACTGCAGATATCCTGTATGTCAGTTACAGAATAATTTCGTTTTTTAATATCCAACTGGGGAACCCCAGTTTAGACAGATTTTTTGTAAATGAGGGGTTTAGAATTAAATCTCAATAAGAAGTAAACTAGGCTTCTCAGAAAGGTTGATGCCTGTGGAGGTATTCAGGAAGACAGCAAAAATCCCTTAGGTAGACATGAAATCAATGCCGCAGAGAATGGGCACTGGCAGAAATAGCTTTTTGTTGTTGTTTTTGTGTTGGTTTTGTTGTTGTTGTTTTTTATTCTCCTCCCACTCCTGGAAGCAGCTTGTCTTGTCTGAAATACCTGAGTTTATCCTAAAGCAGACATTCAACATGTGGTGAGTCTTGTCAGTTGTAAGGAACTGAAATGAGCTAATAATGAGACACTGGCAGATGGCCTTTATAGCTGATAGAGCCACTTGACTTTAAGTGTAAAATTAATGCAAAATGACTCTTGAAAAATTGACTCACAGTGTTTCAGTGACTTGTTATTACATTTACTGTTTAACTCGTCTGCTGCTTTATTATATGGTGAAAAGGAGGTTGTAATGAAAGTCAGTTAAGAATTTAATTAGACATGAGAATTGGGTTTTAGAACTGTTAGTGATCACTAAAAGGAAAATAAACTCTTGATTACTTTTTCCCTAGGTTTGTGTGAAATAAGATACATGCACTCGTGTCTCTCAAGTAAGTTCAACAAAAGGTAAGTTGGACCACACTTGTTTGAGTTCATTTGAGCTGGAACATGAATCCTTCAGCTGTGTGAGTTCTAAGTATGTAACATGATTTAGCACAGAGGTGTAATTATTATAATCTTGCATCAGTAAATATTTCACTCATATATTTTCTTCAGGTGGCAGGTGTACCCACTTCACTCACGTGGGACATTAGAGGAACAAAATAATGCATTTTTGGCTACAGTTCCTGGCTACAGAAAAGTAAATATTGTTGAATCATTACTTTTTAAGTGTGTGAAACCTTTTGCTGGATTAATAGCAAGTAATAATGTATATAAGCTAACATTAGCTGTGCCAACTGAAACTACTGTGTGAGGTCAAAGCAGTTTTGTTTTTTGAAGATGTAAACTAATTGCTTTTCTTACCAAGCTGTTACTTTACTGATATTTAGACCTGAAGAGAATAGGAAACTATCCTTAAATTGTTGTGTGACACTGGTTTTACCCTTAAACAAGCAAGTTTGTGCTTGTCAATTCTTGCACCTGTATGGTAGCAGCATGCTGCTGGTGGTGCTGCATAGCAAAGTAGTCCCCAAGCATAAGGGTCTCCTGCCAGCTTTGTAGCCTGCATAATGGCTAATGTCTTGGCTTTCTTTATCCCTGATGTTTTGTTATGACAAAAGCATAAGGAAATATTTCCATTCTTTATGTATGCTATACTACTTCATTATGCTTCTCTGATCTTGGGACAAGAAAATACAAGTTTTCTTGTGTTGTATTGCCTTTTTTTTTCTCTTAATATGCAGAGCAGAAATACTGCATTGTCATATTTATATTTCTTCATAGCAAGTTGGATTTTTCATGTAGAAATATTAATGTAATTTTTTCTTCATGCATTCATTGCTCATTTTTTTGCTTCAAAACTCAGATTATTCTGTGTACAAACATAGCTGAGAGCTCTGTAACAGTTCCTGATGTTAAGTATGGTAAGTCATTTACATCTTGTAATTGTGTATGTACTGTATTTATAGTGTTTTCCTTACTTGCAGTAGCCTAAATCTCCACAACAGTTTACCGTTTCACAAAGCACTGCTGTTGGAGTTTAACTTTGACAGTTGTTGAATTCTTTCTTTCACAACAAAGAACAGTTTTAAATGTGAATATATGATCAAATAGTAGAGCTACCAAGTCGGGTGCTGGTTTTAATCGTTACTGGAGGAGAGAAAAAACTAAATGTAAATGCAGTAACAAGCAGAATCAGACCCATGTCACGAGTACCTTAAGTTGGGGGTTTTTTTATTCACATTCTAGCTATATTTTGAAATAACTGCATCAGATGAAGCAAATTCTGATATAGAATAGATTGCCTTTTGATGTTGTCATCTGCACTAACTGTTTGTTGTATTTATATTAAAGTCTATTTGCAGTTCTGTCAGTATTCAGAGTGTTCTGGGTCTGGTTTGTCTCTTTACTGGTTTTCAAATAACTGAAAGTTTCCTTTTCTGATAACACAAAATCAACCAGTATTTTTTTCCCCTGCCATGTGGATAAATTGTTTCATAATAATACTAGATTTTTCTTAATTGCAGTGATAGATTTCTGCTTAACTAGAACTTTGGTTTGTGATGAGGAAACTAATTACCAGAGTTTGAGACTTTGCTGGGCATCTAAAACAAATTGTAATCAAAGAAAAGGTAAGGTGACAGTAGGTAATAGAAAGGAATTTTAAAAGCTATCGTTCATAGAGAATTCTACGTTGCTTTTCATTTAATTAACAGTAAAAGCATGGATTATTTTTGCCTTGAATAATTTATACAAAACCATAATTCCTTACCATGTCAAGTAAGGTAATGTGATTAAACAGCTATGCCTGAATGTTTTATTTTGATCAAGTATTTTTCCATAGGAATTTTTTGTATTTTATTGAAGAATACTAAAATTCATGGACCTGAGAATTTATGAGGATTCTCTGTTATGTAATAGTATTTTTATCATGGGCCATTTTCTTAAAAGGGGGAGCTAAGTACTGCTAGGTATTTACTACTTTGAGTTCCAGCAGTAAAGAAACTTTCATGTCTTTATCACTCTTAAATTAGTTGAAATAACCACAGCAGTGTGCAGACCAGTGTATGTAGCACAAGCTTAAATAAGATTTCATATCGGCTCTTCTAGTAAGACTGTACTCTTAAATATCAAAATCTTTTCAGATTAAAGGAGTACTAAATAAATTATAACAGTAGTATCTTTAGGTGTAAAAATATCCTCATTTTTAAATGAGGTGCCACCAAAGCTGCTCTATCACTTCTCAACTGGACAGGGGAAAGAAATTGTAATGAAAAGCTCACTGGTTGAGACAAGGATAAGGAGATTACACAGCAGTTGCCATCATGGGCGAAACAGACTTGGGGAAATTAATGTCATTTATTACTGAACAAATCAAAGTAGGGTAATGAGAAATAAAACCAAATCTTAAAACCCCTTCCCCCCCCCCACCTCTCCCTTCTTCCCAGGCTCAGTTTCACTCCTGATTTCCCTACCTCCATCCCCACAGTGGCACAGGGGGACTGGGAATGAGGGCTGCAGTCAGTTCATCATGTTTCTCTGCTGCCTGAAACTTGGGCAGTTTACAGATTGCGATTTGTTCTTTTACGTGAAGGTCGTGCTGGACGTGTTTCCAGAGGGTATTGTTACAGGCTTGTACGCAAGAACTTCTGGACAGACTTTATTCCAGAGCAGTCAGTACCTGAGATACTGGTAAGACTTTTGGGAAACATCAAGATATTTTTTAATGGCTTTTTTTGGTGGGTTTTTTTGGTTTGTTTTGGTTTTTTTTTTTTTTTTTTTAAAGTTGATAATTGACGAAGACCACTCCACATAGCTTCCTTTGTAGAAGGAGATACATTACAGCAGTAAAATGACTGTGGATTAGAAATAAGTAATCTGTTCAAAAGAAAAATATCCTTACTAACAGATTTTTTTTTTTTTTTTTTTTTTTTACTGGATTGTGAACTTGAACTTATTTTTCATAGAAAACACATTGTCACACTTCTAACGGGGGAAAGTAACAATAATGTTGTCCTTCCTTCAGCGTTGTCCATTGGGAGCTACAGTCTTAAAAATAAAAAAGCTTGATATGGGGGGACCAAAAGCCTTGCTGGCAACAGCTCTTTCTCCACCTAGTGTAGGTGACATTGAGCATACCATACTTCAGCTGAAAGAGGTAGGCATTCTTTTAATGTTGTTAAAATTGAGGTAATAAAAGTGTACTGTAGAAGAGTTTTTCTTGGTATGTGAGGTAGTAGTAGCCGTAATTGTAACCTGAAATAGGATCTGTGTCTAAAGAATTTTTTCTCACATTTGGCTGTTTGATTACTGTACTTTTCAGCATAATTTCTGCAGTTAGTTCATTGAAACAGGATTATAATTTCATCAGGGAGTTACGTTGCTGTTTGTGAATTAGCATCTGTGGTGAGAAAGAATAGGAAAAAAAGTAAGAGAACTTGATCTCTGTAAGTGAAACTGTTTATTAATGAAGTAGCAAAATTGTACTCTTACACCTTACAAGGTATAGGAGTCAGCCTGAAGATCACCTTCTGGCCTGTGCCTGACTTCTGTGTGAGTTGATGATTCTGCTTTTCAGTTACAAAGTTGTTACGGGGTAGAACATTCATTGAACTTTTTCTTTTCCAAAGTGCATAAAAATTATATTTGTATTTTTTGTAGGCTTGCTTTTATATCCAGGATATGTAGTAGAAATTTTGGTTTAAAAATGTTAGGCTTTTAAAATTAAGAATTTCAACGTAATTACAGTTTTGATACTGATTGATGTTGCTTGCTTCTTGTCTTTTCTTACAAACTGATCTTAGACTTGCTTCATCAGCTTTTTACAAGTGAATAAATTTTAATTTCTCTAGCTGGGAGCACTTACAAATTGTGTGCAAACGGAAGAAAATCCACATGATGGTGAGCTGACTTTCTTAGGAAGGGTATTGGCACAGTTGCCAGTGGATCTGCATCTTGGAAAACTAATAGTCCTTGGGCATGCCTTCGGGTGCTTAGAAGAATGCCTTATTATAGGTAACTGAAACAAGAATATGTGAGAACATTTCTCTAAAAACAAGCGATTTGCAGGTTTTCACTTTGATTTGTTTTTGTTGTAGCTGCAGCACTCTCTTTGCGGAACTTTTTTACGTCACCTTTACAACAGCACATTGATGGATACAGGTATTACCCTTGATGTTTTACAATTTCCTGACTACATTTGGGGGCAGAGGCTGAAGTTGACCATTAAATATAATTTTTCATGTCATAAGTCTAATTTTCTATCAAAAGTGCCAGCAGTGTAAAAAGAAGCTTTCCCAAGCAGCTGAGATACTGAACTCTCATTTCTCTGTGAACTAATCAGTATTGTAGAGCTAACTCATTCTTTTCTGAGTACAAGACCTGATTTTTGAGCTTTTCCTTTCTGATGCGAGTATGTGACGGTGTCTATTAAAATGGAGGGAGGGGTTAAATAACAAGGATTTTCTTTTTTCTTTCCTTTTTTTTTGTTTTTTTGTTTTTTGTTTTGTTTAATAAAGTGTCCTGTCCACACAGTTTACTTTCAGAAAGCAGATGCGAATAAGGACAAGTAATTACAATAAATGTATTGACCCTGTTTATTGAAGTCCTGGAAGTTGTTACTAGGTTTGGCATTCTGAGCTGTATAATGCATTCAATATTTGAAAAAAACATTGTTGATGATTCTTTTTGTTTGTATTGCCAGAAACAAACTGGTTTTTGCGGGGAATAGTAAGAGTGACTGCATTGCAATTGTGAATGCATTTAAGGTAAGTCTTTTTTTCTGGCTTATCTTCTAATGAACTCTGATAGACAAAACCAGGACTTCTTGCCTTTATAGGATCAGTGCAGTATTTGTGCTTTGAAGCTGTTAAAAACTTCACATTACTCCTAGCTTAGTGATACTTTTTGAAGGCTGTGTCCTACTATATAACAGTACTAGTTCAGATTTATCTCTTATTATAATAACCAAAATAAAATGCCAGAGACATGGTGATATTGGTAGCTCCTTTTTAACCAAGGATAGTTTGCACTGGTAAATTCTAGTACAAAATGAGTTTAGTGTCCTTTCTCCAGGCTTAATAGCTTTGACTTTTATTCTGTCCAGATGGGTTTTTTCTGTACACTTGGCTGCTTCATAGGCTGGTAGCATGGTCAGAAGTTGATCTCTGCAGGTACCAGCAGAGCTGGTAGACCATGGGAAAGACTTCTGACAGAGGAACTTACTACTCAGAATCCAGTGTTTTACATTATGCATGGTCTGGTGTTTCTATAATCTTTTGGACACTCCAAAATCTTCAGCTGCAGGCTTAGTTTATTACATGTTGTTTATGTTGGCCTTTTCTAACTTTGGTGACAGCTGACTTGTTTGTCTGTACTCTAGCGTTAGAATTTTGTGAAGCGCACATGGGCACCTCTGCCACACATACCCACTGATCCTGAGGCTCCAGCATCATCTTTTCTGAATTCACCTTATCCTGTTGTATGCTGTATTTCACTTGTGTCCTGTTAATCTGAAGGTGATGTTTCTATAAACCAGGATGTTGTCTTGGAGAATAAGCACAAACATTCAAACAGCGGTTTCCTGTGTGATGTCTGTGTGAGTGATGTGAAAGCTTTGTTTTGAATGGCTGGGTGTCACAAACGAACAGGGAAAGAACTTGTTTTCAAATTTCCCAGTTCAGATTAGGTTTCTTCCTGAGTAAGCTGAAGTTCTGTGAATCATTAGCATGTATTTTTTGAGCCCTTGCTTACAAAAGGTTTTAGCAAATTTAAAAAAGTTCAAAAGCTTTAGCAGTAGAAAGAGGAGAATCTGGGGAAGTAAAGGCTAATCGGTGTGATTTAAGAGACAGGATTTTAAATAGAGTTTTTAAAAGAAAAAATAAAGGCAAATAAGTCGAGTTTATTTTTCTGACACAAGGCTTGGGTATGGAAGTGGTGGATGTCAAAAGCATTATTTAAGATCAGGACATCAGATAGCCTCAATCAAGGTAGGCAAATGCAGTCTGGCTGTTCAACTATGCTTATAGTGTCCACAGCAAGCTGGAATATTGTATTTATGAGGTGGCTTGCTATCAAAGTAGGAGAAATGGATTCTGCAGGCGTCTGTCATAGTTGTGCTGCCTAATAATGAAATTATTTTCATTGATATTCCAAGTATGTTAATCTTTCTTCCAGCTCTCTTTTCTGGGAGGAATCCATGTCAGAACTGTACCTAAATCAGACAATTCACTTTTGTCCCAGAGCAAGGAGAAAAGAAAGGTTCTGGAAGTAGCCTGCTTTATTACAGCATCAAATCAAAGCATCCAGTTTGTTCTGTTTATGCATATTTGGATGTGCTTTAATGCTCAGTCCATCTCGTCTCAGAAAACTAGGTGGATAGTCTGTTTTATGTTGCTGTGTTATTGGGTGACTGTTGTATTTCTTCCATATCAAATCAGAACTTACCTCCTGTAAAGCCTTGGAATGTAACATGCTTGATCTGCTTTTGGCATGTGCCATGATCCAGAATCTCTAAGCTATATCTAGAAATCCAGTGACACAAATCCTGCATTTCCAATTTAGTTGCAGGAGCTGATGGCAAGTTTGAGGCGGTATATGTAACTACAGTTCATCCAGTAGTGCTTAAACTCCTTTTCAGTCTATAGGCGTGGCATTGCATGCCATAACCTCTAAGCTGACTTGAAGGCAGAATAGTTAACTTCCTATAGCAATTCTTATCCTTTAGCATGTATAATCACACTTTCAGCCCTGCAGTAATGCATTCTTAGGATCACATTTTGTGGCCACGCTACTTTGTGTGCTCATACATGAGCAAAGGAAGACCCAGAGTTCTCACCCACGCTCAAAAACTAGAAAGAGTGAGAAGTATTTATATCTGCTTAGGAACCAACCAGGCAAGCATCATATTAGACTAAAATAATTAAATAATTAAGGTTGGAAAGGACCTAAGGAGGTCTGTAGTCTAGTCTTCCGCTCAGAGCAGGTTCAGGTCAGTTAAGGTTGCTCGGGGTTTTATAGATGAGATCCTCAAAAACCTGATCTAAGCTGACCCTGATGTGTTGGATGTTTCAACAATTGATCTGAAAAAATCTCCTCCAACCTAAATTACTGCGATTCAGCTTTCCATGTACTCTTATGCTTAAATATTTGCAATCTGTGTTAGCCCAAGGGGTAACTGGTTTTTGTATCTGTGTTAATCCTTGGTTTTTAAATTGGTGTTAAAAAATTATCTTTGGTATAGGTACAGAAAAAACTTCATCATTTTAAATGTCACATTAATATTTGTAATAATTATTACTAAAGCACTACAGTTTATGCCTGAATACTACACCATTTCTTTTTTAGGCATGGCAAGCCTGCAGTCAAAAAGGGGAGCTGAGACATCCCAAGGTTAGTTAAACTTTATTTCTTCTTTTCTATTAAAGGTTGGTGACTTCAGTATTTTATATTCTTAGTGATTTTTTTTTTTTGCCAGCAATTCTTATTTTATAATAGTTAGGATTTTTCATAAGTAAATAGAAGCATAGGCCTTGAGGGAACATGAGTCTTTGAATTTAGTGCTGAGTGTTTAAAGGCAATCCCTTATGTAGTCCCCTTTCAGTGATGGATCAACAGTGGCCAGAGGGTTTAAAATCCAAGTTTCCCTTTTGAAAGAAGTATTTTTAATATACGTAAGTGTCTCTCTCTCTGCTTTTTTAAAGAAACACACAAATCTGACCACCCTCCCAAAAGAAACTACTGTCACAAAAACCAGTAGTATGCACACAATAACTGCTTCCACTCTGTTTTGTGTGTATAAGAAAATCTTTTTTATTTCTCTGCTTCTTTCAGAGCTTAATATGCTTTATGAACACCAGTGTGTAACATACACTGAGTTATAATGAGTAGCCAAGATGGCCAGAAATACCAGAAAATTACTGATAAAGTTACATTTCTAGATAAAGAAGTTCTGGTTTTCTGGAAGAAGTGTCCATCTCAAAGTAGATTCTGTAGTAGCAACATAGAGGTGCTGGACTTGTGGATTTATATGAAAAATTTAGATGACCCACAGCTGCACTGGTGGTAGCCATAGTTCATTTGTAAAATATATAATTGTCTTATATTTTCATACATGTCATAATACTTGATTGATATGGATGAAAGAAAGCTGTGAAATGAGATCATATTCTCCCATCACTATATTTAACTATTGATTGTGACTGCACAGAGGAAGGTGGGGAAAAGCTTATTAGCAGTAAACAAGTTTCTAACAATTTTTGCATTTGTATATTTCACTTTCTTTTTTAGAAAGAGCTTGAGTGGGGTCAGTCAAATTGTATTCATATCAAGAAGGTCCGAGAGGTGAGATGAAATAGATAAGTCCTTCTATCTTTCCCTATTTTCTACAAAAGTTAAGATACCGGATAACCCTACTGCATTGTTATGTGTCTTATTAATATAAGAGATGTATACTTTCTTTAAATAATCTGAATCTTTAGGATTTGTTTCTTAGGGAGAGGAGATTTGATACTATTTTAAGTTGTTAGAGACTATCGGGATTCCAAATACAATTTAAGACAGAACAGAAAGAAGCTTTATTACCTATGGTCATAGTAAGCAAATATTCGGGCAGTGTTTTCCCCCTCTGCTTCTCTCTCCTTTCAAGTTACTGCAGAGACCATTTTTATAGAAAGGAAACAGGTGAGGAATATCATTGTACTGTTAACAAAGCAAGGTGTTTATTCTTGTGAAGAACTGACTTCAGATAATCGTTTATTAGCAAGGCCATGTGTCCATGCTTAGGCAGGATGGACTCTTAAAAGTAGCTTTAACTGCTACAGGTGACACTATGGCTTTTGGTGGAGGCACATCCTGTATTAGGTCAGAAGTGAAGGTTGGAAGCAGGCTGCTAGCTTTTAGATGAAAGGAATTTTCCTTTTGTTAGGATAAACAAAGTGGCAGTAAATTATTAACTCTTCAACATTTTTAACTTTACTTTTTTTTTTTAATTATTTTATTTTAATAGACCTCCAGTATTATTTGCTAATTCTGTGGGTCCTTCAGATACACTGGTTGTGGTGTGATTGCTGTCTGTTACATAACTTTTCTATTAGGATAATTTTGAGCAAGTACAGTTAATGAGGATTGGACTTGAAAATTTGCGGGCCTTTTTTGCTAACATCACTGCAGCCGTTAATGAAAATTCTGTATCACAACGGGCTCCGAGCTTAATATGATGTGTTGAGAGGGAAAATAAAACTTCTTCATAACTGTGATTGGCAGAGCATGGCTTTGCCCATTATTCCAGCAGTTCATACCTTCAGCATGAGCAATACAGGGTCTGTGTTCAAAAAGCCCAGGAAAGGAAGAAAAAAAAAGCTGTTCACAGTAAGCAACCATCTGGATGAGAAATGCCAATAACTGATAGCAAGGAAAAAAAGTTGAGAAAAAAGAAAATGGTGTAGAACTGGGGAGCTGAAGAATGAAGTCTTGCAGCCTCCTGCATAATTGGTGTTCTCTTGGCCCAGTTTCAGATATTCTAAGGAGGTTGTGCATGACATGATAGTTAAGGAGTTTAGAATGCGCACCTACACTAACACTTAAGAAGATTTTGGTTTTTTTATTTGCAACGCTTTCAGACACTAATTTTATAATTCCTTGTGTAGAAGTAGATTTACGGAACTGAGGCAGCCACACAGATTGCTTACAGATCATGATAGTTGTCCTATGAGGAGTTTTAGTAGCCTAAAACTGCCAGTAGCAGAAAGGAATGAAGCAGTTGGTCAGGCTGTACTTTCCTACATTTGGTCCAAAATCAGTTGGAACAATGAAGGTGTTCACTGTGTGGTAGGAGGACCAGTAGCTGCTTAAGGAAGCTTCTTGGAAATGCTTAGTATTGAAAGCTTAACAGAGCATGTTCTGCTGTAGGGTATAAGTTTAGTCTCACTTTAAGTCATTGATGTCTGCTGAACTGAGGGTGCAGGATGTGTGGTCATACCTGCAGTTAAGTACAGGCTGTTCTTAGCATGTTTTACCTCCTAAGATACAAGCTCAAAAGCATTTCAATGTAGAATCAGTGTATTATCTTGTAAGAGGTTTCCAGTTCTTTTTCTCCCTTTGTTCTGTATCATCTATGTGTAATACACTCTGTGACTACAAAATTCAACCTTTTTATAAAGATATGTCAGGTAAACTGAGTCACAGTTCTGAGATTACTATCTAGAAATGCTGAGCAGTGTATTAGGTAAAACGCGTATTAGTCACCTAAAAACGAAAGGGAGTTTGACCAATTTAGACTTTTACTAAGAGATTTTATTTTGTGGATGGTTTTTGATACATGTAATATGTAACTTAGTGTTCAAATTTTAGGTGGCAGAGTTATTTCACAACTTGAAAGAGCGAGTCAGTGCATTTAACATGCATGTTAATGCTCATCCATCTGCTGTGGATCAGGAATGTTTATACAAACAACGTTTCATTTTGCAGGTAATGCTCTATTGACTCTTCAGGGGAGAGACACTACTTACAAAATCTGTGACTGGATTTTTATTTACTAGTACTGATGAACTAGTATTACACCTGTGTTTCAAAAATCTCTGTAGATTTTGAGATTGCAGGTGAGAAAGTAATTCTTTTGACTACCTAGGAGGACAACGAGTGTTACTTTCAGGGGTTTAGAATTCACGCCAAGTTGAAACTCTGGCTTGTCCCTTCACTTCTGAGAGTTCATCAAAATGATGAAGTCATACTGAGATGAATTAAACTGTGTATTCAGGCTAATATTTGTTAAAGTCATAAAAAGACTCTAAAGAAGGGTGGTTTGTGTGGGAAAGCTAAGAACTATCAGATTTGAAAATTACATTTTCACTTGTTTTGAGTGCCCTATTTGGACCACCACTGGCTTGGTTGAAGTTATAAGGGGGGAGAAGGGAAAGGATTAGATGTCTTTCAGCTATTGTAACTTTGTCAAATTTCCAGTTATATTTCTTGTTTCATTTGGACTGATTAGTAGTGACTTTTTTTTCCCTCCCCAGACCTGTTTATCATTTCAGTGACAACTGGTTTAACTGTATAAGCAGTAAACTTTACAGAGCTGAATTGTTAAATACCCTAAGATGTAACATGAAAATAAAACCATTTTCATGTAGCTATTTTTTGTGAATTTATTTAAAATTGAGGCTCTTGAAATCAGGGCTAACAAAGTTTTCGTTAGAGCAAGTTTGCATACAAGAATATTAAAATTATTCAAGATTGTTGCAGAAGTTGAACTCTTTTCATGAAAAGTATGGTTTTAAGGATTTGCATAAAGTAATGTTTAGTCTGCAATTACAGCAATTCCTGGAAAGAGACAGGAAAAAATGATACTAAAATTGTTGGTATCTCTTTATGCTGATAGTTATCTCTTCTCAAGAAACTGAATATAATCCGTTGCATTATCCAAAATATCTTGATTTCAGGTTGTGATAGCCGGTGCTTTCTATCCAAACTACTTTACTTTTGGAAAATGTAATGAAGAAAGTGCTGTGAGAGACCTTGCTGGCAAAGATCCGAAAACGACTGTTATGGTATGTTAAGAAGGTGAATGACCCAAGTAATAAACATGTGTAGTGTTTTGGTGGTGTTTTCAAATCTTGCTCTGTCTTGGGCGAGGATGTAATAATCTACTGTGATCCTCACTTCATAAATTGTCTTCTCTCCCATCTCCATTTCTTTCAATATAATAAACATTTTGTGGGTGGGCAATTTTAGAACAATTCCTACTGAGAACTGCTTCTATGCATTGATTGCTAGTCTTGCACAGGCAAACAACTTTCATAAAACTACTAAATGATTTGAAAAATAGAACGGGACTATCAAAGGCATTTCTTAATGAGTATTTATGAAATGTGTTTTGCAACTTTAACCATACTTTTTTTCAATCTACTTGATAGTGCATAGCATAGATGTTTGTTGCTTTAAGGCTGCTTAGGTATTTGCGCTCTGCTTTATCATCTTTGAGAAATATTATATCTGAGTAAGTTCGAGTTTGAAATGACTGCGTTGATTTTGCAAAGTAGTATACAGTCTCAACTAGGAAAATACTTGGTGTATCTGAATTAATAATACTAATAATAATCTGAACTGTAAAATAACCATGACCTACACTTAAAGAAAACAAGCTTACAAACCAGTGAGCCTCAAAGAATAGATTTGTATTAGCAAAAGAGAAGACAGATAGATGAAAAGGCAGGAGAGAAACTCTTACAAGCTAACTGTTAAGGAATTATTTTTTTTTGCTGCTTACCCAAGAAGAGCAGCTAGTTCTATACCAAAGGACATGCTGGAGACAGGTGTTAAAGTAGGAGAAAGCTGTTCTGTTGATTTGTAGAGTTAGTTTTCAAGTTAGTTTAGCTCATGGAATTTGTAAAATGCACAGCTCTCTTGTTGCCTTGGTAATACATGTTAAAATCATAATGCATTATATTTGAGTATATACCACCTGTAAAGTCCACCATACGTAACACTACAGAGTCCAATATATTTAACTAGAATGTTATTCTTAACAGAAATCCTTTGAAAAAGTGTTGCAACTCATGTAACTTCATCAATTTGTGGTGGTTTTAGGATTAAAATCCAAGAATAGCAGAATCTTTTAATAATCCAGGTTGGAAGAGACCTCATGCAGTCAGCTAGTCCAGTGATATGGTCAAAGCAGAATTAATAGTGCGTTCAGACCATGTTGCTTAGGCCTTCATCCACTTGTGTCTTGAAGAAGCTCTGAGGATGGAGATTCTGCAGCTTCCCATGGGATCCCACCTACCAGTTCCCTGAATAAACCAAACTGTGCCGTCTTAGACTTCAGGATGTGTTTTCTGTTGCTTGTTTTCCTCATTCCCAAGATCTTGAGCTCCCTTCCTTCCTAGTTGCTCTGGCCCAAGCTGCTGTTGATGATGGCTGCTGTAATGAATTCTACATTGTTCACCAACTGCAGATCCAGAAGAGCCCTGTTTGGCTCATGGCCTCTGTTAAGAAGTTACACCCTTCAGAAATCTAAGAGCTTGGGTCCTACCCTTCTCGCCAGGTTATCAGGGAGCTTACTGTCTCCCTCTAAGATGCAGGGTCTGTGATCTGGAGACCTCTGCAAGTTGTCTAAAGATTATCTGTTTCATCCTGACTGATGTCTGTTAGAAATTCCTACCTCAGTGTTACCCTTACTGACCTCTTATCCTGACCCACAAGGCGTGGGTTGTCCCATTATGTGTTCCATGTAAGACCATCTTATATTTGAGCTACTCCTCCACATAGGGAAGACCAGGAAGTTGCCCTTGGACTGTCATGCCTAAGAAGCATGTAAGCATCACTAAGTGCTCTCCAGCTGAACAAGCTGTCCCACCGTACGTCACTAATACTATATGTGGTAGTTATGTCAGGACATGCAGGGCTTTAGCTCCTCCTCGCTTAGTTTCCCAGGCTGTGCACACTGCCTAGGATGTAGTTCCCATAGGATGTAGTTCCCAGTGGTGGACAAGGAAGCATAACCATTGCTTTTCTGTTATAAGCAAAAAGAGGGATACTAGACAGCTTCTAGGAAAAATTGTTGAAGAAATACATGGAACTACGGATAAAGCTGCTTCATTTATAGTTAAAGAAAACACTCATCCACCAGTAGTTAGGGCAGCTTTAGCAGCAAAACTCCAATATTACTGTCTTTTGAGATTTTGAAATTTAATGTAGTATATAGCATTTTTTTGAATTAAGGACTTAAATTGTACAACACTGCCACAGCTTAAGAGTGAAGCTAACTGTTGAGGTGAACTTAATGCAGTAAAATATATGAATGTATCCAAATTTAATTACTTTTTCTTAACAGCTGAGGAATATTCCTCCCTATGGATATCTATACCATAAACAGTTGCAGTCACTGTTTAGACAGTGTGGGCAGGTAAAATCTATTGCCTATGATGGATCAAAGTAAGTATAAAATACTTCAAGTATCCCGCCTTTCTCATGTTCTCAGTTATGAATCTAGTAATCACTTTTTTTGTCAGTGGTGCACTGACAAAATGAGTTTATTTTTCTCTCTTTGGAATCAGCAGTTTATTTTTAATGCATTGGCTACAGTAAGAAAGGTGGGTTTAAAATTTGAGATACATTGATTGGAATAACATTAGATAAACTAGCTAAGTTAGGGACTGCCTTTTGTTTTGTCTCTTCTATGGTCAAAGAGTGGACCTTAGCTGCAGCTGATCAGTTTGTATTCCTAACTTGTATACTGAATTTAGCTTGTTTCTACAGTCAGATGGCTTTGCACAAATGCATGCAACTGGCTCTTTCAGCTAATCATCTGGCTATCTTTTGACTACAACTGTTCAAAGCTGCATTTCTATAATCCTCCTTAGGCCTTTTCCAGTCTTTCCTTACTCACATAGATTTCCACATCCTTTCTATTAAATAAACTCAGTAAATTTGGTATGTGCTTGTGAGAGTGTTAGAAAGATTTTCTTATAACCGTGGTGATAATTGAAGTATTAAGATTCATAAGAGCAATAGGCAAAGCTTTTGAAGAATCTACTTTTTACTGTTTGCTGACCTGCTAAGGTAAAGACAGGGAGAGGAAATGATGGCTTTTCTGGATTTTTTTGGTTGTGTTTGGATTCCTCATCAAGTATTAATCGCAATTTTATTTGGTGGGTTTTTGTTTTGTTTTCTCGTGCTTTGTTTTTTTTTTTTTGAACAGGGCTTTTGTGGAGTTCTCCCGTAACCCAATGGAGGGCTTTAAGATTCTTCCCGCAGTATACCTGTCAGTCAAGATGTCACAGCTGAAAATTCCTCTTGCGCTGAATGCTTATCATCTAAATGATATTAAAAAGCAGTTGCAAGGAGTGACAGCTGTGAGTGTGGAATCTCTAAGGTAATGGTATTGCATATGGAAAAACACGTTTCTCTGTGTCGAAATGAGGTTTGCTGGAATTAGTGGGGATTTCCTTGGAAGTGTCATCAAGGAAGACAGGTTCAAAAAGCAGATGTGTAACTTTGCATAAGCAGAATGTTTTTGAAGGATTAGAAATAATATAATTGTCTTGCATATTTCTTTATAGTTAGAGGTGGTTTACTGTTGAAGAGAACACCAAGTATATGCTATCTTTCTTTTTTTAAAAGTTGCCTTTGGCATATAGAAAGATGGATGTACACAGTAATTTTTCTTCATGCTATAGACAATGTGGGGATTGCTAGAACCAAAACAAATAAGGCGTGGCATTTGGTGACATAAAAGCAAGGGAGGGAGGGGTATAACAACAGAAACTGGGGAGAAATGGAACAGTGTAAGGTGGGGAGGCATAATAGAGAATACTGACAAGGAATGCAGCATAGTGAGTCTTCCAGGCCCACGCCTGCTTTTGTTAAAAAATCTGGTATGTGGGTTTCACTGTTATATGCTGTCTGTGATTCTGAGCTTCAGGTCATACAAGCCACTTATTAAAATGGTAATCTGCCTAGCTTCTGCTTGGTCTGCAGCCATTTTAGTATTTTCAAGAAATCTAAAATAGGAAGGCAGGAATGAACTGGAAGTGTTAAAGTGCAGATGAATACTTCAGCTGCAGTTGATTGTACTTAGTTTTTAATTAAATATATTAGCAGTTTCACTGTGCCCAAAACAGCACTTAAAATCTTTGTGGAAATTAATTCTTGAGGCACTTCAGAAGTCTCCTAGGCTGAAAGACTAGTTCTAGAGTTTTTAACTTTTGTCAAGTAAAAGGAATATGATATATTAAAAAAATATATATGAATATCTTTGTGTTGTACTGTACTCAATTTATTTTTAACAAATAAGCTTAGGAGGCATGCCATAGCAAAATGCCTCACTATTTAACCTTAAATCTTTGGATTTCTAACAAAAACTGATGGCACAGTTGTGTCTTGGTATGTATCTTTCTGTGTTTGGTTATAATGGCGTTCAGTTACTTTGTAGTATTTTGGTTCTGCATGGTCATTTTGCATTCTAATTGAATTCAGTATTGCTGACTAGAAGTTAGTAAGTACATAAATGTGCCCTAAGGACACCTTGGGAAGTAAATGAAAGCAAAGGAATTGGAACTCTTAAGGTTTTGCTTGTGAAGTATTTAGCATCATTATTCCATAATCTTTTTAGAGTAAATGTGGACTGTCAGAAGCAGAGTTTGGAGCCTGTGGAAGTCTCATTTGGTGCTTTACAACAGTCAAAGATGATCCCAAATCGTCTTCTGTCCATCAAGATAACAGAGGTAGGAATGTTCTACATCTGAAGTAGGTAATATCTAATAATCATTACCTAGATAACTTTGAGGAGATTAATATCTGATAAGTTTAAATGAAAGGAATGGGTGCTAATGATTTTAGCATGGAGATATCCTTAAGACATATGAAGAAAATTCTTGGTCTAGTTTTGAGTAGTTCTTTGTTAAACAGTAATCATGTCACACAAATTTCAAACATTGAAATTTACTTGCACTTCACAAAATTTGCGAGATTTACTGGCATGGATTTACAGCAGTGTTAGCTGGAAGTAGCCATAAATGTAAAGAGAATAATGGGAAGGGGAAAATATTTGTGTACACTGTAGAAATGAGAATCAGTAGGTATTTGGGCCATTTACTTGGTTGTTATTAACTGGCAGTTTTATTCAGAACCTGTAGATGTGAGAAGTGAGATGAATTAATGGTATTGCATGCTTATTCAGGAAAAATCTTGCACGCAGAAAAGACAGTGTTTTAGGGGAAGATTGTGTGCATATATAATATTTCTGGATTCTGCAGCTGAGAAATTTTACAGCTTGTGTTAACTATCTTCCCAACAAATAGAGGAATAGCAAACAGTGTATATGCTGCTAAAATAAAAACAACGATAAAACCAATCTAAACCACTGAAATTACAGGCTGAAGTATTACAACAGTTCTTGATATTAGTGGCGTGGTTTGCAAGTGCAGAAAAGAGCATTTTCTTCCTTTTAGTTACCTAAATCTCTTGGATCAAAAATATTTGTGGTTTGGTCAAATATATTCCAACCACTTAGCTATTTGTGCTACTTCTGTTTAATACATCAACTTTAATGGTCATGTGTATTGTAAATAAAGATTCTTCTTTTTATTGCAAGCATCTGCTAGAATATCAGAAATGGTATAGGAGTTCAGTAAGCCATTTGTAAAGATAGCTCATTTTATTCAGTTTTATTTAAATTCTTTTGTAAGTTCTTTTCAGTCTCCTAAGGGATAGCTGATCATAACAGTAACAATGCTGATTTTCTGATAGATGCAGCTAACTGGTATTCTTTCACTAATAAGAGAAGTGCACTATATCTGTATGTATCTGTCTAATCAACTGTATACATTATGTTTTCTATATGTTAATTTGGTTTAGAAAAATGGAAGCAGTCTTTTCTAAATTTTCTGTACTTTAGTAATTTTTGTATCAGGGTCTATTTAGATGAAAAGTGTATTGCACATCAAGTAAACATCTTAAAATTTCACCTAATTATGAGAGAAATGCTTCACTATTATTGCAGTATGAGAACTTTTCTATGTGTGTGTCAGGAGTAGGAGTGCTTTCAAGTATTTTGCTCAAATGTGTTTTGTATTTGATGTAGAATAACAATATGAATCTGATATTGTCTAATTTTTATACTTTCAGATAGTAGAAGTTGGACATTTTTGGGGTTACAGGACAGATGAAAAAAATAGGACTGTACTTCAGGCTTTAACTGCTGAAATTAACTATCAGAACCTGATGGATTTGCCAGTGTCTCCACATCCAGAGATGGTTTGTCTGGCACCATTCACTCATCTGGAAGATGGAGGATATTGTAGAGCTCGTATTCTGTATGTTTGTGGAGATTTTGCTGAGGTACACTAATATGTTACGTTACATTGAATTGGTAGAATGTAATTGGGTTGACAATCTTGGAGCTATGCTTTAGTAAGCAAGAACTATGTTCCTGATGATTATAAGTATTCCAGTAAAGAAATATGTAGAACTAAAATAAAACCTTAATAGAATGTTGTCAGAATAGGTGAATTAGGTTTTTTCCAGAACACAGTAATGTTTTAATATTAAATGAGACACTGTTGTTGATAGAGTGAAGTATCTTGTGTGCTGAAGCAGAGCGAAGCAAAATAGACTAAAACCTCCAGTAACTTTGAAAACATAGTAAGGAATGCTTAGGTCAAAGTCCAGTGCTACATTGCTGGCCACAGCCCCATTAATTCCTCTTTATAAATAGATTGACATCCATCTTAAAATTAAGTTTCTTGATCTCACTGTATTGCTGGTTTTCAAACATTCATGGCCAGTTTGTCTGAGATTGTTCTTCTGCCAGTGTTTCTTCCCCTTGTTTACATAGGTTTTCTTTTTAGCTCCTTTCCCTTCCCCACCAGTTCCATATCTATCTCTTTCTTCCTGGACTTTGTTTTGCTAATTGAAGCAAGCTGCATTCTTTGCACGTACTACATAGACTCTTTTTTCACTTGGTCCCCTTCTCACTCCTCTTTCTTATTTTGACCTCGGTTTTTTGAAGCAGGATTATGCATGCTCCTGTACATACAGTTCTGCCTTTCTTTATGCAGTGGTGCTAGTATTCCTCTTCCAACACAGTGTTTCTCCTCTGTATTAAAAAAATATGTCATGATAAATGCCACATATGCCTTTCCATAGATTTTTTTTGTATGGGCCCCCTCTTGTCATCTTAAAATCAGTTTTGTCTCCTTGGTAATATCCAACTAATTAGAATTTATATATAGTAACATGGAGTTTATAGCAGAACTTGTTAAAAACTCCAAACGATATGAGTGTGTCCTTCATACCATTTAGTTATCTCCATTCCTGTTGAGTTCTCAGGTCCATTCAGTGTGATCTTTTTTGTATCAGTGTTTATAGTGCTTAGTTCTTGATCATCAGCAAATTTATTAGAATATTTTGACTTTTCATTCCAATATCAGTAGTGGAAACTTGTGCCACAGCTCCAGATTGGTATTCATTTTTCAGTACAGTACCTTTGTTTTCGGCACTTAAGGACAGATTTTTGTAATACAGCCCATTCCTCCTCTGAATTTCTTGATTTCTTAACATAGCTGGGTGTCACCACTATAAAGTTAATACTAAGGAGATTGCATCTTTTTGAAGTCATAAAAAAACTAGTGAGCAACAGTGCTAATCTCATCACTTTCTCGTTTGCATTTATAAACAGTCACCAGATCCGTGTTAGCATTTGCTTATCTAAAAGCAATTATTGGGCAATATCATTCACTGTTAAGAAGTAAGGTTATACAGGTTTAATTGTGGGGAGAGAGAGCCTTGGAGAAATTTGCCTATAAAGATTTAGCAGAATACTTAAATTACAGTGGATGTTTAAGCCAAGGAATCACATAATAGACATGGTAAGATTTGGTGTATTATTTTTGATATGACTTCATTTGCATGTTTTCCAAACTCTGGTTTTGCTTCCATTTAAATTGATAAGACTTGTGTTGTACTGTAATTAAGGTTGTCACTTTCCTTGCCACTGAAAAGTAACGCTTCTAATGTGGAATCTCTGCAGATGCTCTTGATTCTTTTTCCAGGTGTTCTTTGTGGATTATGGCAATAGATCAAAAGTGCCTTTAGAGAAATTAAAAAAGATTCCAAGCTCTCTTCAAGAGCTTCCATTCCAGGTAGGGACAATGCTATTTGCTGCTGCTTAATAGGTAGTTTCATGTCTGGTCTGCCAAACAGAAGTGTACTTCAAATCTAACGCTTCTCAGAATAATAATGAAGTAACATGTATTTTGCTAATGGGAGCACATACAAATCACCTTCACTAGTAGGATAAATGCTTTCCAGAGACATACATGCACAGAGCAGTAATTCTTATGTAACTAAATTGCATTGTATGTAATTGTAGCTTTAACGCTGGGGAGGTGAGTGGGAGGGAAGCCTGAACTTGATGCCTGACTGGACATAAAAAAATTGTATTTTTTTTAACTGAATGGTTGACCTCGTCCTGTCTCTGTGGGAACAACATACTGGGATCTCTCTCCCACTGGTAATCACAGGAACAACAGAAGGAGAGAAGAAATAGCTCTAATGGCTGCCTTTTGCTGTTTGTTGCTTTTGGCTATCTGTTTCTTTGCTGTCAGTCAATTCTATGAGAAACAGAACTTCCTGGAAGGAGCATGTTGTTTTGGTTCCTCTCTTACTTGCTTATAATATGAAAAGCTCAGGAGTAACAGGCTGAGCTTTAGTCTAAAGAGCCTCTGAACAAACAGCAGAGGTTTATACAGCTTAGAAAACAGCCCACAGAGGAGAAACTATCAACAACGAGTTTAATTTTTTGTTCTCTGCTTAAATGTAGGTGCTCCTACTACAGGTAAGTGGCAGCATAGCATCTCTCCTTGTCTGCATGGCTTGAGTCTGCTGTACAGTTAATGTGCAAAGTATTTTTGCTTCATCAAGGCCTCTTCTCTGCTCCACTGTTAGTTACAGGACAAATACATAGGAGATGCCTGATTTAAATTTCACAAAGCTACAAGTCTCTGGTTTTGTGCTGCTTTGATGTTCTTTGAACTACTGCCTTTACTTGGATCTTTTCAGACAGCCCTCTTGATAATTAAATAGCAATATGTAACATAAACCTGAGGGACTTTATAGTCCCTTATAATTTTTGAGAAAAAATAACTCTTGAGCTATATTTACAAATCAAATAACTAGAATTTAAGTGAAATTCAGCTTTTCAGTCTTCAGTGAACTGAAACAGGTGTGTCGTAACTTTCTCTGAAGCATTTAATGATGAAAAGATAAATTAATGAGCAGAAGTTTAGATTTATAGTTCTCTAGTTTTCTGTATTTTATTTATCTTTTCTCAGTATTAGATCTCAACAGGCCTCATTTTGTTAGGTTTTCTTTTTAATTGATTTTAAAAAACAAGTAGAATTAATTTTGGCAAGAAGCATCCCTTTTTGTGTTTTCTTCAGATGCATTAAAGGGAAATACGTTTCTGCTTCAGGCCTAATCTTTTAATGACTGGTTTTAATGACTAGCTATAAAAAAAAAATAGGGTTTTTGTTGAAAATTCATTTGAAGACATAATTACAGATAGCGATTGTGAGAAGGGGTTAAATGTGAACTTACACTTGCCTGCCAGGAACAGAATAGCTGCAGAGGTCTTGCCAAGTTTTCTGTTCCTGTAGTTGAAAAGAAGTGTGGATTGTACAGAGAAGACATCTCTACGCCCAAGATTTTAATGTGGATGGTGAATTAATACCAAATTATCTTTTATTATGCTCTGTTTGCTCTGTTTCATTAGCAACTATCTACAATATTGAAGTCATATGAGATGTAGTGTGTAGCTGCGTTGGCAATGATGGAGTAGGAATTATGCCAGTAGCTTTACAGCTATCCTAGGAATTAACATAAACCACTGCAATAATTACGAAGTAATTTATAGTTATTAATTCAAATGGTTTGGGGAAAAATGTTTTTATGCTGATTTCTACTCAGTTAAGCATTGTTTTCCGTGTTTTTGTTCTAGGCTTTAGAATTCAAGATATGCAAGATGCGTCCTTCCGCACAATCTCTTGTGTGTGGAGAAAGGTGGAGTTACAGTGCTAGCCAGAGATTTGCCTCACTAGTAAATGGCTCTGCACTTCTAGTGAAGGTGTATTCACTTGTGCATAGTGTTCTGCATGTAGATGTTTTCTATTACTCAAGGTGCCAAGAGCTTGTGAATATTCGAGATGTGCTTATTGAAGAATGTTATGCTGAACTAGCAGAAGAATCATATGAATCACAAGTATGTATTGAGTAAGCCGCTTCTACTTTTCTATACTAATTTATTTCAGCTCAGGCTAGAGTCCTGAGAAGTTGAGTTGAAGTCTTGACTAATGCCATGGGATTAGGCAAGATTAATACTTGAAAAGGACAACATACGTGTGTTCATAATTCATATTAAGTTGTGGGATAAAAGCATTGCTGCTTTGAAACATCTTTTGAGAGATGTTTCCCAGGAGATAATTGCATCTGAACTGTTCCATTGTTTTTTTAAACTCTGATAAAATATGTTTCATAGTTTTAACTGTCTCCCATTTCTATATTTTATATAATCTGAAAGGTGATAAGAACTTTGGGGTTTGTATTTGTATGTGAGTTCGTGTGTGCTTAGTGTAGGATCTTTTTTATAAAATTTATGAAAAATGTAGACATTTCGTGGTTTTAACACTCTTCCATTATTATGTAGCAAAGCCATAGTTTGCTCAGGGAATTATTTTTGGACCAAGTAAAAGAAGAGAAAATACCTGTTTCTTCAAGAGAGGAAGAAAAGCATCTCCTTGAAAGATTGTTAAACTGTTTTTCTGACCACAAATCTAATGTGCCAACCCATAAGGTAACTTGGGTGGTGGTTTTGGTATGTCATTTCTTAGAGTGCTATGTCATTGGTATGTCATTTCTAACACTGCTTCTTACAGTGTTAGAATGGAGATGAAGACTGAAAGTGTCTTTAACACCCAAACCACATCTGATGCCTTTAATAGTGTATTCTATTTAGCCTAAGAGTGAACCAACTCTTCTAACACATTTTAAGGCAGCGCTTCAAAACCCTGCAGAGTGAAGATAAAATTAAAAAACTGAACACAGTGTTTCCACCTCTGGTAGTCGTCACTACATAACCTACAGCAAAAAAGCAAGATTGCAGTCCTGCTGGTTTTCTGTTTGGATTTTTGCTGGGGTTTTTTTCCCCAGAAGATTTTAAACATGATTTTTACTATAAGCATTGTTTTGTTCTTCCTCAGCTAGTGATAGGTAAGCTGCTAGGATAGGTAATGCAGTGAACACTCCAGTGACTGATAATGAAACAGTGGGTGTTTCTTCCACTACCAATTCCAAACTCAGAATTTATTTTTTCTCACTTCGTTTGAGATATGTAGTCACTACTAAGCTGAAATATAAATATGAAAATGTGTCCTGCTCTGCACTCTGATTACAAGTCTTGTCTACATTATAATTCTTTTCACATCTCAGATCCAACAATATTTTGCGTTTTCAAGCATCTCTTCATGCTCAATTTACCCAACAGGAGTAATCCTGTTTAACTACTCACTTTATGAAAGTGAGAGATTTGTCAAGATTAAAGACTGCTCATGTAAACAAAAATGTCCTAATTTTATTAGGTGCTCTGTGAAGTACGAACTTGCGCTTTTTAAGCCAGAGGGAAGTTGTGAATCCCCAACACCTGTGAAAAATACATTATTTTTGTTCAAGTGCCAAGTTTGCTCTAGATAGGTGAAATGAAAATGCTGCTTATCAATTTATCAATTCAGTGTTGCTCAGTACATGCTGAAATGTGTTTTGGTTTTCATTTATGGAGTATTTTGATTTGGAGAGATTCAAGTACTAACTAGAACATCATTTGTTCTCTCTCTTTTGCAGGTAACGGTTTTTGGCCCATTCAGTCCTTATGAGCTGAAATGCTACAGCATGACTAGAGTATCCCAGTTCAGGTATGAGAAGACTTTTACTGTGAAGTATAGGCATGTTCTCAGATGTAATTTTCAATATATAGGCAAAACCCATCCTAGTTACTCTGACAGATTTTTCACAGAATTTTCATTCTTTGAAAGGACTGAAGTCAGGATTAAGTTGCATTAATATGCACACTATCACTATGTAAGATTTAAGGATAGTTTTATTAAAGGTGCTTTAACGTCTTAGATTATTTATTAATCATGTACATCTGTTAAATGGTATTTAGGTAACTGCTATTCATTAAGGTTGTATTGTGAATTTAAAATAATACTTTTTTTTACATGTCTGTGTGGGGTTTGGTGTCTTGTTCTTTTTTTTTTAATGTTGAAAATATTTTATTTCCTCCCAGAAACATTCTCATACAAAAGCAAAGCATAAACTCTGTTGTTCTCCATGACGCTCCAGAAGATCCCTTTCAGCAGTTGTTGGTTTCTGCTTCCGTATCAGCAAATGCAACTGGTAATGCTTAATAAGTGTTTGGACAGTTTCTCTAGACTTTGGTTTTATGGGAATAGTCCTATGAGGAAATGCTACTGTAGTTCTACGTTACATCCTTTTGAGGTTTTGTTTTCATTAGGTACTCCTTAGAGTTTTGTTTTGTTTTTCTTTTGTGTGTGTGACAGGATCTGCTGTAATTTTAGAGGAAACATCTTTGATGCCTCCTATTCCTGGCCTGCTTCCGCTCCTCAGTATGTTGTTTGCTCCTGCCATAGAACTAAGGTATTCATGCATTTTAAAATGGGGTGGGGTGGGAGGGTAGGGGGTTTGTTTTGGGTTGTTTTTTGGTTTTTTGGTTTTGGTTTTTTTTTTTTAGGATCCCTCACAAATTGGTGACTTTTTTTCTGCTTTTAGCATTTCCTGTTCATGTAATTCTCGTATCTTTTATCAATATTAGTATAATTTGTGGCTAAGATAACTTGTTTCATGTACTTAAAAATTGGTGCTGCAGGCTCTACCCTCACAGTAAGGCAATACAGTTCTTGTCAATTGTGCTGGAAGCCTGGGAAGATGTACTGTAGAACTGGGCAAGTTTTAAACGTACATGAGGAGAGGAACTTGCTTGAGTTTTGTAAAAGCTTGTAAACTCTTTTGTAAAAGAGTTCTAGCAGTTGCATTACTGTTGCGTTTTGTTTAAATTCTTGTGTCTGTGGACTGTCATGTCAACTTAGTGAAGCTAGCTTTCCTTAAGTTCTATTTCACATATGTATGGTTTTCTTAAGTTTTATGAGTAGATGTTTCCATAATCAGAACTTTAGTTCTGTTTCATCACTATATTTGAAACAAACAGTATGACTAGGTGTGAATGCCTTTCAGTTGTTTTAGCTTCTTCAAAATATGTGCATCTTGCTTGGCATGGCTTAAACAAATTAATTTAACTCTGCATATGAGTGTTCAGTTTTTTCATCTCTAACATCATCTAACATGTAAGAAAACATCTGGAACTGTTTTCTTTCTTTTTTGTATAGGGTTGATAAAAGCGGAAAGTATTTTACTGGTGTTTTGTGTGGTTTGGGTTGGAGTCAGACTTCTGGAGCTCCTCTGCTTCCAGAAAATGACATGGAACTGACATTTGATGTGCATTTTGGAGTGGAAGACATATCAGAGGTAAAATATGTATAAGAATTTATCAAGTTACTTGTCTCAGAGCAGATGAAACAAACAAAAAAACCTGTATTCCTCATTACAGCCTTTTTGCAACCTGTAGACAGAGATCTGTCAGAGGGAAGTACATGTATCCGCTCGTTACGCAGGACAGAAAGCTGTATTTGACCTGTGCTTCAGATTTGATACGTGCTTTATACAGTGAAAGACCTCACATGCCCTGATTATTTCTATGTACAGAGCAGGTGATGGGCAGTGGTCTCTATAGGCTTTTTAAGGACACACTGTACATGCTGGTGCACATATCACAGAATCAAAAAATGGTTTGGGTTGGAAGGGACCTTAAAGATCATCTAGTTCCAACCCTCCTGCCATGGGCAGGGACCCCTCCCACTAGAGCAGATTGCTCAAAGCCCCATCCAACCTGGCCTTGAACGCTGCCAGGGATGGGGCAGCCACAGCTTCTCTGGGTAACCTGTTCCAGTGCCTCAACACCCTCATTCTTCCTTCTAGAATTCAGATCTACCCTCTTTCAGTTTAAAACCGTTACCCCCTGTCCTGTTACTATGTGCCCTGGTAAAAAGTCCCTCTCTAGCTTTCCTGTTGGCCCCTTGAGGTACTGGAAGCCTGCTTTGAGGTCTCCCTGGAGCCTTCTCTTCTCTAGGCCGAACAAGCCCAACTCTTTCAGCCTGTCTTCATAGGAGAGGTACTCTGATCATCTTTGTGGCCCTCCTCTGGACTCGCTCCAGCAGATCAGTGCTGCTCTTATGCTGAGGGCCCCAGAACTGCACACAGTACTGCAGATGGGATCTCACAAGAGCAGAGTAGAGGGGGGAGAGTCACCTCCTTTGACCTGTTGGTTATGATCCTTCTCATGCAGCCCAGAATACTCTTGGCTTTCTGGGCTGCAAACACATTGTCAGCTCATGTTGAGCTTCCAACATCTAACACCTCCAAGTCCTCCTCAGGACTGCTCTCAATCCAGTCTCCACCCAGCCTGTGTTTGGGCTTGGATTGCCCCAGCTCAGATGCAGGACCTTGCACTTGGCCTTGTTGAACTTCACGAGGTTCACAAAGGCCCAGCTCTCAAACCTGTCAAGGTTATTCTGGATGGCATTGCTTCCCTTCAGCGTGTCGACTGTACCACACAGCTTGGTGTCATTGGCAAACTTGGTGAGAGTGTGCTCAATCTCACTGTTCATGTTGCCAGCAAAGGTATTAAACAGCAGCAGTCCCAGTACTGACCCCTGAGGAACATCACTTGTCACTGGTCTCCACTTGGACATCAAGCTGATGACCATAACTCTGTGTGTGACCATCCAGCTAATTGCTTACCACTCAGTGATCTATCCATCACATCCATGCCTTTCCAGTTTAGAGACAAGGATGTTGTGTGGTACAATGTCAAACACTTCATACAAGTCCATGGAGGTGACATCAGTTTCTCTTTCCTTATCCACCAACACTGTAACCCCATCACAAGAGGCCACCAAATTTCCAATGTGCCCATAGTGAAGCCGTCCATGTGAAAATTATGGACGCATGGAGAAAATCCTTAAAAATTTTACAGAAGGAATACTGTGTTTGTAAAAAAAAAAAAAAAAAAAAAAAAAAAAAAACAACTAAAAAAATCCAGGCAAGTGGTAGCCTGAATGTTTTGTAGCGTATCTGAGTAACCTTGATGTTTGTGGCTGAATGATGATCAAGTGGCTGAACATTAACATCTTGAACCAGCAGAGATGCATCTGGAGGAAGAAGTGTTTCTAAAGCTTCAGATGGTTTTGCTTATGTTATTAATATTTCTGTTGAAGTTTGATGGTATGGGTGCCACAACCCCTTTGTGTCAATCTTATCTAATATAGTATATAAAATACAGAGCTACTGCTGGTTTAGAGTGCTTTATATTCTGTCACTCGTGTTTTCATAGATAAACATCCTAAGGACAGCCATTAATAAGCTGCTCTCTGAATGTGCAGTGTGTTTTGAACAAACAAGAGTGACACAGCTGCAGGAAGATGTTCGTCAGAAACTTCTGTGGTAATTATTTTATAGAAATAAGATCTTCTGTTTCGGTCTCAGCAAAACCAAAATAAATGATTGCTTGAAGCATAGCTCAGATTAGGCTTTGGGGAAACAATATATGTTCTCATTTAATGATGCACTTAATTTACTTTGTTTATTTATAAAGCAGTATACTCAACAACTTTAGACTTCTTGTGGAAGCACTAGTTCTTCAGGGAAGCCTGGTCACTTAAGAGTCATGAAACCTAGACTGTAAAACTTGTTCTACAGGATACCACTTCTGATGTACCTTTGCTTTGTGCACCCAGGACAAAGCTAATAAAGTTGTACAGCGTAAGAGTACAGAAGGATTAAGAATTTTTTCTCCCTATACATTACAGTTGAATCACGTGTGCTGTCTTTCCTCCCTCAACAAACTAGTGTAGGATAGGTGTTGGCCAAGTTAATCGCTGAAGTCCCAGGCTAATTTATGAACTGAAGTAAGGCCACCTGCCTTTGCTTTGAGCTAGCTGTGGCAGTGGTTTGTGCGCACCTTCAGAAAGTGGTGGTACAGCTCCACAAAGGCTGTACCTCCAGAAATGCATGTTGTTTGTGCTTTCACCTTAAGGAGAACCAGTGCAGGCTGATGGCAAGCTGTTCGTGTTTCACATTTGAAAAACTCTTGGTGAAATCACAGCTGTCGAGTGTACTGCTGATGCAATGTTTAATTTCCTGTTTGTGTCCAAGTACTTCAGGCCAGTCAGTGTCTGCATTGCCTTTGGACACTGCCATGTAGTACCATGTTTAGACTTGAAAGCTGAATGAAGTTTGCTTGTGTAATTCAAGTGGTAACAAGTGTAGGGAGAAGTTGAGAAAAGTGGATAGGCAGAAAGAAGCAAAACCACACAGCCTTTCTGGAGGTGAGTGTGGCGGTAACAGGAGCTCGTGTTTGGACATCAGCACTTACATTCTAAATTTAAGGCACAGAAACGTCGCTGCTGTTTCTTCAGACATGTGAATACCCACTGGTGCTTCAGCACCTATTTTGGGTTGATTGTTCAGATGTCTCCCGCCAGTTGGGAAGGGAAGGAGCAGCCTGCACAGCTCCTCAGCACTGATGTGTTCCCCAGTTCTGTCAGTGTTCACTGCCTGGCTTGGTCATTCTCATCAGCCTTCTGGGCTTTTTTTTTCTTTAGGAGATTTTACACTTTTTCAGGGTAGTGTTTTCTCTCCTAGATTTTTTTTTTTTAATGCTTTTACTGATTCTGTTCCAACAATCCTACAGTTAATTTTTCTAATTTTTTTTTTTTTTTTTTTTTTTTACCTTTTTGAAGAAAGAGACAATCTGGTTATTGTCATGATGTTTTCTTTTCCTTTGTGTAAAATCCTTCTTCATTTTGAATGTTTTTTCTCATTGTACTTCTTTTGTGTCCTGGAAAAAACTAAATAAGAGCACATAGGTAAAAATTTAGCCTGAACAGTCTTTCATAATTCTTCTCCATTTTTCAGAAGTTAATTGTATTTACAACATGTCACCACTACTTAAGACTAAAATCAGTTTTTGAAAAACACATCTAGACAGAATTAATTAATGTCTACTACTGTTGTACTTTGCACAGCTTGAAGGAATAACTGGAGCAGACAGAGAATCTATAGTAATTGAGTTGTCATGTAAAACAACATACCCTAAAAATAGCTTTATTATACATTCTAGTGAATAAGCATGCATAAAACTTAGGGAATAAATGACAGCTGCAAATTTAGTACTTTGTAAATTAAAAAAAAAAAACCACAACATAATTTCCTTTAAAAGATAATAGATTCTGATACACTTAACATCCTAGATTAATAAGGAAATTTAGGATTCCTTTAAGCACAGACTCCTCATAAATGCCTAGTTGTGTCTAATACAGAAATTCCTTATTCTTTAGAATTAATCTAATACAAGTGTATTTCTTAAGGCTATTTTTATGTAATTTCAGTTTAATCTGCAAATCAAAACCTCGAGATAAAATTGTTCCTACATGGTATGAGAAGCCATATGCATGGAATCAGGTAAGGGTCTACAAATACATTTTTTTTTCCTTTTCCCCGAAGAAGAGTAGTTGGAGTACCCCAGTACAGTTAGTTAGAATGGTCAAAGGGAGGATTTCTTTTGGAAGGATGTCTTTGAGTCTTGAATTTAAAGATACTGAAAATACTGTGCAGTCAAACTTAAGGCATAAGAAGAGTTGAGTATACAGCAGTCTCTGTTGATATCCTATTAGTCTATTTAGTTTGTTGGGTGGCTTGGGTTTTTAATTTTTTGTTTTAGTTTACGCTTTTCAAGCAGAACGTGGTTTTTGAGAGGTGTATTTATCTGAGTGCAGTGCATTTTAGTTTTGTTTTGGGTTACTGTGCTTTCAGGTGGCTTTTCTCTTTTAAGTTGACAGAAATGTAGCTTATTTTAGAATGAATGTGGTGCGATCAGATAGGAGGGTGTTTTTCTTGAAACCTGGGATTGTTTCATAAAAGTTTAGCTTCTAACTGTTAGAAATCTTACCTTTCTTCTGTAAGGGTCTCTGCAGGCCACTGTATTTTCTGATGAACAAGTGTCTTTTCTTAGTTAAAAAAGGGTCAGGAATTACTGAGTGCAGTAGTAAGACTTTTACACACACTCTCCCTGTGTCTCTCCCACCCTGAGGAAGATAAATGAGTAGTTTGGGTCTCCTTGAAAAGATGGACAACAGTGAACAAGCACTAAGGGCACTTATTTCTAGTAGGCATTCACTGGAGGGTTAGCATGTGTTGTGATACATTGTCTTAAGCTAAAGTGTTTCTGGTTCCATATTGCAAATTTGGTTATCCTTGGTGTTAGCAAAATAATCTCCTATTCAGTTATATTGGTGTTTAGCTTTTATAAGAAGTTAATGTATAGGTCTTGGATCAGGATTTTCCTCACTGCATCTGAAGAATTTTAGGACATCTTTTTTACATCATCATATCAAATACTACCTGTAATGCTTTGGAATTTGATTGTGTAATAGTATTCTGACTCAGGCAAACCATGAGATACAGCATTTCGCAGCAGTGGCTGCTTATGTTGACATGCATGGCATAGGACTGAAATTCCTGTGTGATTTGAAACTGTCAGAACTCTTCAAGACTCTCTTCTGTAGCTCAGTTATATGGGAAAACGTAATAAAAAAATGCCTTTTGGCCTTCCTCTTGCATCTTTTCATTAGGTGGATCCTCAGCATATCATTGACCAGTCTGAAAAGCAGCATGAAAGAAAAAATGGTCTTTATCAGCTACATAAGCTTGTTTTGTTGAATGTTTAAGGATTTCTAGAAGTCTTTCAGAGGACAAGAAATTGCAACTAGTCTAAAAATTTCTTCTGTCTTCTATGTAACCCTTGGACTCTCGTTTTGCAAGACTGTTCCCTGAGGTTAGTGACAGTTTACTAAAACACAGTTTGGAATATGTTAATAGTTTGTTGTTTTTTGTTTTTGTTTTTGTTTTTTTTTTAGAAAGCTCAGGTTTGCTGACTTACAGCAGGTGAGCTTATGAATAAACTGAGGTAAAGCGGGATGTATTTGTCATTTTAATACTACTTCTGAACAGGTTTATTCCAAGGTATGTGAAAGACAAAGCAAATCTAGGTGTAGTTGTTCATTTTCTGTCTAAAGGCTCATAAGCCATAGGGCATGATTCTTTTGCGTTTAAGTACAAGTTGTAATTTCGTGTTACTTTTGCCATCAGTTTTTCAAAAGAAAGGTTTTCTTAACCAAAAACTAGAAGACAAAGGAAACTCATGATGTAGATTATGTTCTTACAAGAACTGTGACTTCATATAGTGGATACATTTTTTTCATTATTTTTTCATAAAGAGAAACATGATATGATTTCTTTTCCTGTATGGCAGAAGAATGTTTTTGAATTACTGTTGCATGGCACCTTTCTTTCATCTTTTCATATTATTTTTACCTGTGAGATCTTGTAATCCTAAAAAAGAGGTCAGTGGTTTCAGAATAAAACGCTGAAGTGAAATAAAATGTGTTTGTCTCTTCTGTTGTGCGGTCATGCTTAATAAAAGCTAAATTTAGTTATTAATGGTATGTGATTGCATTCATAAAATACATGAATACAAAAACAGAATATGGAAAAATATTAACCTTTTCACTGTTCACTCTATGATTTGAAGACTCTAATATCTGGTCATCCTCTGAAGAACAGACAGAATCATACCATTAAAAAAGCATCAGATCTGGGGAAAATAAGGGGATGCTTAAGATAAGAAATTATTTTAAACTGTACTTAAAACAGAGGGGCAGCTATATTATAGGCGATTTCAGTGGCTGCTTACAAGCATTACTTCCTTAGATCTGTTTTACTAATCCTTGTGAATTATAAAACATCATACTTTATATAGCAAGATAGGTTTAACAGAAAACTGCATCTCAAGTGGCTTAGACAACAGTATTTCTCTGCTGAGTGTTGTATGCAGGTTAAGTGTTGAGTTAAACATCTTGGGGGGGCAAATGAAACAGGGAGACTATCACATCTTTACTTTGCCAGTTAATGATGGGAATTTCTGTAGGAAAAGGTAAATTGGCCGTACCTAAAAGGCATGGCAGAAATAATTTAACTTATCGTGATTCCTCATAAGCAACACCGAAATTGAGAGGAATAGACTGTATTTTCCATATTTATTTATTTTTCATTCTATTGGTGATGTGCTTCGGTCTGTTCGTGCACGTGTGCTGCCATCTGGTGGGGGCTGCTTATTGATCTGCTGCTTGCTCCCCTTTGAAGGTCTCCTTATATTGTAATTAATGTTTTCTGTATAGAAGAGGTACTCTATAATGGCTCATGTCACAATAAAACTGAAATGCATCTATTCTTCTCCTTACGATGAGAGGAGTAGATAATGTGAACTCCCCACAGTCCAATGACTCATAACCTGCCACTGGTCAGTTGAGAAATGAAAACTGTATTAACTATTAAGAGCTCCCAGTTTTGTTCTGGGTATGTAATACGCCTGCAGACATGATTCCTGAGAGATTATCTTTGAAGGAAATGGAACATCTTACAAGTTAGCCTTGCTGGGAAATGTTAGTTATTGTCAAATGAAAATGTAGTACTAAAATTTAAAAAACAGCAGTTGTATTTTATTGTTTGATTTAGGTTTCAACAGCATTACAAAGTCACTTAATACAAGTTTAACAGCTTCATTTGTATTTCTTCTGTAAATTAGTATCTGAAAATAACTTCAAAGAATCATAGAATGGTTTGGGTTAGAAGGGATCTTAAAAATCATCTCATTCCAACCCGTCTGCCATGGGCAGGGACACCTGCCACTAGACCAAGTAGCCCAGATAATCTTTTGGTTTACACTGAGATCCTGCATTTTTGCCTAGATTACCACTTGCACTGGTTACATCTGGATTAGAACAAATAAATGAGATTCACAAAAGACTTTTGCCTGCCAGCCTATTCATTTGGTCTTTATTAAATAAGAGTAATAATAAAAAGGATAGTTGAACAAAATGATAGAGCATGTGAAATGAAATACCTTGTGAAATTACGGTTCAGGAGATGCACAGTAGGAAACCTGTGTCTCTGGAGGCAATTTGAGAAGCCTGGAGTGAGGAATATGCTGTATCTGAGAGAGTTCATCAATTTCTCTTGGTGAGGGTGTCACAGCAGACAGTAACATGGAATTTGTTGGGCTGGAACAATTTTAGCCTTAGTGTGAAGTCTGTTGTTTTTTCCCCCAGAAACATTGATAACATTACTGTTCCTGAATGATCAGAGCATATGTTCATAATCTCTTGAGTTCTTTTAAGCTGTTATGAGCACAGTGTTGGATCAGCCCAAGCCAGCTGATTGCTTTCAGCATCAGTACCCTTCTTCTTTCTTCAAGTAATTATGTGAATCATTTTTTATCACTCAAATTATTGCTGTATTTTTCCTGTATCCTTAAATGTTGCAGAGTAAAATGGTTTCCAGAAAGATTTATTTTTAGAGAAGAGGGCTGGAAGGACGTGAAGACAGTTCTTCACTGTGATGGTGACCATGCACTGGCAGGGGTTGCCCAGAGAGGTTGTGGAGACTCCATCCCTGGAGGCACTCAAAAGCCACCTGGACATGGTCCTAAACAGCAAGGAGGATGGAAAAGATGATCTTCAGAATTCCTTCCAACCTCAAGCTGTCTGTGATGCTGTAATAAAGAGGCTTTTCCAAAAGCATGTGTAGACAGGGCTGAAGCCACCAGTTACCTATTACCTGAGAAAAGTGCCTCCGGTGAGGGGAAACTGGATTTTAGAAATGAAAAGGGCTAACATCTCCAGTAGTTAAATGCCAGTCAAGGACTGGGATAGCTTAGAGGACCAGAAGATCTCCAGATGTGTTTCTGAATTTATTTTATGTCCATAACGAACAAGGTAACACTGATCCCATGTCTGTGATGTGTGTTTAAAACTGTTGGTATGTTCTCTCAATGTGTGGCATACAGTTCACCCTGAGGCATCATAATGACTTTTCTGTGCTTAAAAGTCTCTATTTTTTAACTAGTACTTATGAAGGTGATGGACTCTTGATACACATTGAACCATCTTAGGCCTGCTTTGTGGGATTCTTCATGTAGTTGTCTGTAATGTTGCAAAGACTAAGCAGCAACAGAAGCAATCTGGAAGATGTGTTTTCTTTTTCCTTCTGAATACTGCTACTAGACTGTTTTTACTTTAGGTGAGATAAATTATGCGTGCATATCGAGATGGGAGGGAAACTCCTGTTCCTGGGAGGGGATTTTGGGAGGTGAAATGGTTTTGATTGTGTAGCCGGTAGATGAATGTGTAAGATAATACTTGAACACACACGAGTGTTGAAGACAATTCGGATGATGGAAAATTAGCACAAAGAATGGAAGAACTTTCCTCCTGAGCTGGTGGTTGAAAAGGGCAAACAGCGGGACAAGGTCAGAGAAGGAGTGCAGAGCTAAACTCCAAGGTTTTGCTTAGGGCCTTCTATATCTTTAAGGGCCACCCATAAAGTGTTTTGGTAGAGGTTGATGGGGGAGGTGGGAAACAAATGAATCTGTTGTGGATCTTGGCATAGAGAGACTGTTGCCAGTCAGGTGGTAGGTACCTGGAGTGCCCAGACTTCTTCCTAGCTCCACCTTCCACTTTTCAGTGCAGTTGACCTAAAGTTGTATGTCTGTCATAATACAAGCTGTTAGCCCAAGTACAGAGACGTTGCCAAAATATGAGGAAAATGTTGTATCTGGTTCCTAAATTCCTTCACAGTGCTTGAAAGTGCTTGTTCTGCAGTTATTTCAGTAGTATCATATTGTTCGATGAACACCCTTCCACAGTGAAAGAGAAAACAATAGAATTACTAAGGAACAAACCTGAACGTTTTAGTCCCTCAGGTTTGCCACAGGAAATCAAGCACAGCAGTTGCACTAGCCTTAAATATATGCAGTTATGAAATCAAGCAACTTCAAATGAGCTTGGCCTTCTTTGTGGAAATTCAGCACTGGTCACAAAGTGAGGTTAAGAGCTTTGCATTTCCTTTCCCAAAAAGCATGTTAGCAGGGATGTGGGTGGTTTGGATGAACTGTGCCGATCTGCTGAGACTGGGGACACTTGCAAAATGGCAGCCTGGGCCTTCCATAGTGTGAGTGTAGAAATTCAGGTGAGTGTGGCTGTCATTTTAAAGTGATCTATTTCCAGAGAAAACAGGGCTGTCCTGGTTTAGGTGTACATGATTTTTCGGAGGCACAGGTGAGCGCGTATGTTTACTTTAGAAACGTTGACCTTTTCTAGCACAGTTGTGTGTGCGAGGGATCTGAGCTACCTATTTCTAAAGCTTCCACAGGGATGTTCCAAGAGGTTTTGTTTACAGCGCAGACACAGAGTTGATGGTTAACAGGCAGACAGGAGAGAGAATCTGAAAATGGAATGGGCGGAGGCTTTATCCGAGGGTGACTTTGAGCACAGTGAGTTCAGTCACTTGCTGCAAGGCTCTGTCCTGCTTAACCTGAGGTCTGATGTCTCAGGTTGTTTACACTACCCACCTCGCTTCTGCGTAACGGGCGCACCCAGGATGAGAACTGGGTGAGACAAAGGACTGCTGAAACAGTCACAGAGATGATGGTCCAAGTGAAAAGCATTGCCTTGGAGGAGCCACAGAAATGCTGCAGCTTGCTGCCAAAGGTGCAACTTCTCTCTAAAACTGAGATTTGTGGAGAATTTGTATAGTCTTGGGAAAGAAAAGCACCATCACGTCACTTACCATTTTTGATTGCTGCACAGAAAAGCAACCAATAATGAGATTT